AGACAATCAATTTTACATAAATACCCCCCTCAGTTTTTGTTTTTGTTAAAAGTAATATTTTAATTTGTTGAACCCCATTGGTTCAAAGGGGGCGGTATGTTCCGTCAAGTGTCTTTGTTTCATCTATTAATTTAAATGTCTTTGTATTTAACATCCCATCATATGACCATTATCCATTGTTGGATTCATTCATCGCGAATCACCTCTCATAACAACACCTACTCATTATTTCTCTCATAAATTAAACATTTTTTATACCAAAACCCTCGATCTTTTTACTCTTTATTATAATAACACCGCACAAAATGTGAGAAAAAGTTAAATATTTAGGCTTAATAATTGATAAAAAGTTGAAATAGAACCATCATGTAGAATATTTAAATTTAAAACTTAGAAAGATTAACTATTTATTATATTTTGTAAGGAGTTATGTTAGTCCTGAGTATCTGAAAACTTTGTATACAGCATGGTTTGAGTCTACAATGCATTATGGTCTTATACACTGGGGAGGCACTTATCAAACAACTCTTTTGCCAATCTCAATGTCACAAAGATTTGCCTTACGAAACATTACTAATAATACCCCCGCCGCAGCAAACCTGCCGACTTAGCGAATTTCCATTTCTCTGAATGATTTTCAATTGAATCTATTCAGGTTTAACGAGTACCTAGGTTTGCTGCCACAAGGAAACTGAAACTAATAAAGTGTGTTTTAGTAAAATATTAATAGCTTAGTATAAAATGAATAAATTTGCCTAGTTTGATCAAAATATATCCATAAACAAACAAACTGCAACATTTTCAATATACTCCATAAGAATAACATGGGAATTTTTAATTTACAATTTTTGAATTTTCTCCGTGACCAATAACCGGACAAAAACACTTTGATATACTAAATTATTTGTTTTTTAAGCTCTTTAATATGGTCTAGAGATAAATTGGGAAATTTTGTGTTTTGGGGCCAATTTAAAAAAATTTGAAAAACCAATTATCACCCCATAAAACCCACCGGAAAACCCCGTTTCCATGGTCCGATCATGCTGGTTCGCAAATTCATTCAAGTTTATCTCGCCTTACACCTTTAAACCAAATTTCATTAAAATCGGACAACAATTACTCAAGTTATCGCGTTCACGGACACATATATATATATATATATATATATATACATATATAAAAATTTGAACGAATGGTGTTTTTGGCCTCTGGGGACATCAAAATGAAAAAGTAAATCGGTCCCGGGCCTAGGTTTTACCGTGCCACCCATGGTAATAGCTACTTCCCTATAGGGAAATTCGCTAAAACAAAGTATGAAAGTATAACTTACATGTTCAAAGAACTAGATATATTGACTGTTTCACAATTGTACATTTTTTCTGTCATTAATTTTGTAATAAAATACCCCCGCCGCAGCAAACCTGCCGACTAAGCGAATTTCCATTTGTCTGAATTGATTTTCAGTTAAATATATTTTAATAACATTAGGTTTAACGAGTACCTAGGTTTGCTGCTACAAGGAACCTAATAAAGTGTGTTTTTGAGTAAAATATTGATAGCTTAGTACAAAATAAATAAATTTGCCAAGTTTGATCAAAATATATCCATAAACAAGCAAATTACAACATTTGACAATATTCTCCATAAGAATAACATGGGAATTTTAAATTTACAATTTTTTTAATTTTCTCCGTTAGTAATAATCGAACAAAAATACTTTTATATACTAAATTATTTGTTTTTTTTTAAGCTCTTTAAAAAGGTCTAAAGAGAAATTGGGAAATTTTGTGTTTTGAGGGTCAAAAGTGAGAAAAACCAATTTTTACCCCATAAAACCCCCCCTAAAGCCCCGTTCCCATGGTTCGATCATGCTGGTTCGCGAACTCATTCAAGTTTATCTCGCTTTACACCTTTAAACCAAATTTCATCAAAATCGGACCAAAATTACTCAAGTTATCGCGTTCACGGACGTAAATATATATATATATATATAAATCTAAATATATATATGTCTAGGGGATATATATATATATACATATATAAAAATTTGAACGAATGGTGTTTTTGGCCTCTGGGGACATCAAAATGAAAAAGTAAATCGGTCCCGGGTCTAGGTCTTACCGTGCCACCTACGGTAATAGCTACTTCCCTATAGGGAAATTCGCTAAAACCACAGTTCGTATGATATTAAGAACTATCAAAGATGTACAAGAGCTTCAAAAAAATATACACTTGTAGTTCCATGTTTTAAACGTGATATGTCAAGGAATCAGTTGTGCTACTCGTCAATAATGATTTTCAATCAATTTTCCGAAACAATTATTAACCTTTTAAATAGTTCCTATAATGTAACTAGTGTTAAGAAAAAAATTAAAAACTTTGTAAAATCTTTATAATTTATATATAAAATCCAATGTATGTTTGTATGTTTGTATGTTTGTATATTTGTATGTTTGTATATTTGTATGTTTGTCCTTTATGGACTCCAAAACCGCTCGACAGATTGTAATGAAACTTTCAGGCATTATTAAGCATTATTCAAGGATGGTTTGTGTGAAGTTTGGTGCAGATCCGTCAATAGGGCTCCGCCCCAGTGGCTCTGGAGTTTCCCATGTTAACCTTATGAGTACTCATATTTAAATGGAATTAAAGAATCTTTACAGCTGGTGCAACTAAACAATTTGATTCTATGATGTTCAATAGCATTAAAAAGTTAATAGGTTTACCAACAGGGTGCAGCACTATATTTATTTTTAATTTATGAGAACAGTTAATTTGCAACCAAAAGGTGAGTGAGCGTAGCGAACGAACTTCAACCTGGAGGCGAGTTAGCGTAGCGAACGAGCTAACCTGAAGGCAAGTGACCGCATCGAACGAGCTCCAACCTAAAGGTGAGTGAGCGTAGCGAACGAACTTCAACCAGGACGTGATTGAGCCATGCGAACGAGCTCATCTTGAAAATGAACGAGCATGTGACATAAAACCACAATAGGACAGGACGACGTCTGTCGGGCCAGCTAGTAATTTATAAATGTAATCACTTTTTTCATTGGTATTTTATTGTTCTTTGTTGCATGTGTTTTTTACAGTAAAGTTATATAAAAAAATAAAAAATAAAAAACCCTCTGTTATTGTTGTAAGTTTAGATACCATTATTATTTATTGTATTTGTGTATTGTATCAACAGTGAATAGACTCTGCCAGTAACAACATTGTAAAATTGCATGTACCTAAAGATTTCCTTGCACGTGCGTGTGCACAAGAGGATGTGAAATATTTAGCATGATGTTGCATGAAATAAAGGGTTTTGAATTTAATTTAATTTAATTTAATTTAATTTATACGCTGAATCCGTTTATCCACGTGAATCGTGGATGCTGCAATCCGTTTTTAGAAATCTTGATCCATTCTAAAGTTATGAGAACTTTTTATAACTTTATTTTTAGCCCATTTTAACATTGTGCAGTTACAAACTAAGACCATAATTGCAAAATAGTGCTAGATAAAGATACGTATACACCACCAGTCATTGTCAACCTATTTTCACTTGGTTATGAGGGATATATTTTTTTCAGCCCCCATCTTGGATCCACCATTTTGAAATGAGATCAATTATTTTAAATATGAAGGTGGTGTTGTGACCCATCACTTTGAATTACTTTTTTATGCTGAAGTCAATGGCCCAATCCATTTTTCATTTTCATATTTTGTTTTTTAAATATTGGCATTTTAACTAAATAGTTGTAATATTTCATCAAGAAAGCTTTATAACAAAAAACTGATTGCGGCATTGAGTTCAGCATAAAAAAAATAATTTAAAATGATGGGTCACAACACCACCTTCATATTTAAAATAAAATCATTTATCTCATTTCAAAATGGCGGTTATGTAGGTTTGCTGATAATTGATATTGTAGAATGTAGATAGTCAATAGGCAACTAATTGTCTTTAAGATCAATGATATGAGGATAAAGTTACAATGTAAACAAACTCCCCTTTAAAAAACAAAGAAAATGTGTATGCACTTGTCAATTAAATAATAGTAAAATTTTCAGCAATTTAAAATATAGAATTAGTTTACTATTTAAAAGCAATAAATAATAATAATGAGTTAAATTAATATGAGTTAAATTAATAAATTAATAAAAGTCCAGGAAACAATGTAAACAAACAGACAATAAAAGTCCACCTGAGTTACTTGGTGATCCTGACCTTGTCCGGTCTTTTCAGGAGATTTGTGCAACCAGTTATCCATCACATTTCAACGGTGCTGGATAGATAATGTCCTGGATTTTCACTATCACCAACTATTTCACTCAATGTTTTTCTGAACGAAAAGAGGTATGTTAATTATTCACTTTTAACTGATTAAAAATAGATTTTGTAGGCTAAAAATAACTGACATTAAAAGATAAGCGAGAGCACTTCTAAAGATTATTTTAGCTATCCGCCATCTTGATGACGTCTCTGTAAGACCACTTGCAAACTTTAAATGGATTGTCTAACAACGAGGCCTTGACTGACTTAGTTTAGTATTCATTAAAGGCATGCCAGCTGATCAATGTGACAGAGTGAGAGAGATTACACAATTCCCATGTGTCCAACAATACAACCAAAGCAAAATAAATGTAAACATTCCTGGTTCTAGTTCCAAGTGCATTGCTCCCTCGTAATATCGTTTCTTTGTGTGTCATCGTTTATTTCTCTCTCTTTTTATTTTTTCTGGTTTAATTTACTCTTTCTTTTGTGCATTTAAATAACCCTTTTAATTTAACTATAAATTGAGAATTTATATTAATTGTTCTCAATACCTTTTTTGCAGTAACAAAACTCAATTTACATGAGTGCTATTACTCTAGTACAATAGCCAATATATCATCACACTGTACAACAAAGCAAAAACACATTTCTTAAATAGTGGTGTGGTAAACAATCTTGTTACAAATATGTGAAGGTTAAAAAAATATAAGTAAAATTATGTATCAGCATAGTTTATTACCAGTTATAGCAGTATAGACGTGATCCTGGACTTCAGGGTCAGTCTCATTGATGCCACAATCAACATGAGCTGCACTCACCCAGTTCAACTGTCTTATCCTGCAACAGGAATACATCAAGTAAAATCAAATCAAATCAGGGCCGAACTTACCTATGGACAGACGGGGCGAGCATCCGGGGCCCCCGAGCCCAGGAGGGGCCCCCTTGCACAGTAGTTTTTATTAATAACTCCGAATATTAATCAGACACTTACCGAATGGCCTTTTTTAACAGCTTTATTGTCGTTATCCTATATTTAAGGTTATTGTTAGGTGTACTTTAAGGCATGATTATTATTATTATTATTTAAGGCATGGTTATTATTATTATTATTTAAGACATGATTGTCTAACCGTTTCCAAGCATTAAACAACCTTGATCAAGAAGACTCAGAGGTAAATAGAATTGAGAAGGTTTGGAAGAACATCAAAGAGACCCTGCAAGACTGTGCAAAAGAAGTTTGTGAGAAAGGGGAAAGGAAAACCAAAAAACCATGGTTTGACGAAGAATGTAAAGCTGTCTTACAAAGGAAAAAGCAAAAAAGTCTGGCTCAACAAGAAACAAGAAAGAGATAGAGAAAACTACAAAAAAAAATCTCAAAAGAGACAGTAAAAGTATTTTGGAGGAAAAAAAGAGAATGGGTAAACCAAATCTTAGAGAAAGCTGAACAGGACAGGACAGCAAACAACAGTAGAGACTTCTACCGATCAATAAGATTTTTTAGGAAGGGATACAGTCAAATGCCATATGGGGATTAAAAACAAATCAGGGCAGCTGGTGGTGCAGAGCAAAGAAGGACTACAAGTATGGCAGGAACATTTCAAAGATCTTTTGAATGTAAGACAGTCTGAACAAGATGAAGAAGAGGAGGAAGCGTACCAGAATGTAGATCCAATGGTACCATACCCAACAATTCAAGAAGTAGAAGCGTCAATCAAGGAATTAAAAAATAATAAAGCCCCAGGGGAGGACTCTATTTTATCGGAAGTAATCAAAGCAGGAGGCACAGAACTGGCAAGGGAGATTCACAAACTGATCATTGATATTTGGGACAACGAATTGATTCCAAACGAGTGGAAGGAAGCAGTTATCATTCCCATTCACAAGAAAGGAGACAAAAAAGAATGCACCAATTACAGAGGAATTTCCCTCCTCAACTGCACCTACAAAGTACTATCAAAGATTTTACAAAAAAGACTAGAGGAATATACATCAAATATCATAGGAGACCATCAAGCCAGCTTCACAAGAGGATGATCAACCACGGACCAAATGTTTATACTGAAAGAGGCAATTGCCAAATATTATGAATTCAACAAGTCCTTTCTCTGCCTTTTCATTGACTTCTCCAAAGCGTACGACTCGATCACTAGGACAAAACTCCTGGAAAGTAATGGAAAAGTATGGAATACCTAAAAAGTTAATAAATCTATCAAAGTCAACTGTATCAGGATCTAAATGCAAGGTTAAAGTCAATGGAGAATTCTCAGAGGATTTTGATATAAATACTGGTGTGAGAAAAGGAGATAGTTTGTCCCCATTGCTATTCAACCTAGCTCTGGAAGACTCTCTACAAGAATTACAAAAGCTAGAAGCTGGAATTACTATGGAAACCAACATAAATATCCTGGCATTTGCAGATGATGTGCCACTTGTTGCCAAAAATGAAGAAGAACTAAAAGTTATGGTCTCAAAACTCATAAACCACAATAAAAAAGTTGGCTTAAATATCAATGAAGACAAAACCAAGATAATGGGATGTGGAAGAGCTACCCAATTAAATAATAAAAATAATGTAGAAATAGAAGGATACAAATTTTAGAAAGTAAACAATTTCCCTTACCTAGGAGTAATGCTGACGAATAATAATGAAGAAGACTCTGAAATTCAGCAAATATTAAATGCAGCACATAAAACTTTATTGGCATGCCACAAATTGTTGAGTTCTCGCCTACTCTCACAGAAAACTAAAATCCGTAGGCCTATATCCTATACTCTAATACGAGCAATGTTTGCTTGTATGTATGTATGCTTGCTTGCAGAAAGATCTCGAAAACGGCTCCGACGATTTTCTTCAAATGTTGTAAATAGTTTATTCCTGGCCTAAAAACGAGTTTACTGCAGTTAGAACTGCCAACAAAAATCTAATTACGTAGAAAAGTTAAACTGAAAGTCACATTTTTTTTAACATTAGTCTTATGGGTTGCTAAGTAACCATCTTGGCTAAATTAAATAACAAGGAAAAAGTAAACAAAAGACTTGTAAGTTGTCTGTCCACAGTATACTAGCAAATTATAAATACAGTACAAAAGGAAAAACATCAGTTGTTACTATTGAGCAAAGATTACACTGAAGATTACTCGATACATTGTAGTCAAGGGTAGCAGTGTGGAGTGTGGGATGTGTTTATGACGATTAGATTACGGTATCTGCAATCCTTAAATGCTATGGGAAGGGAAGGAAACAGGTCCGTGACTTAGGAAGTGATGAAGGAAGTAGTAAAGGCGAGCAATACGGAGTGTGGGAACTGTTTATGACGATTAGATTACGGTATCTGCAATCCTTAAATGCAGTGGCGGATTTAGGGGGGGGGGCACAGGGGGCACGTGCCCCCCCCCCCCCAAGAGCTGTGTATAAAAAAAATTTTAAACTAGTTGAAAACCAAACAAAATAATGCAGTTGTTTTACTACGGTATATATTTTATTTGCCCATTTAATACTAAACTTTACTTCAAATAAAAGTACACAAAATGCTTGGTAGCCTAATCAAAATTGAGTAAACTATTAAATAGTAATTATGAAAATCATGTTAGTTTTCGCCGGCCGTCGCTCCTAAAGCTATAGTGCTATGCTAAGCTTCTTCTCCTTCTCTTCAGTCAGTCAGTCACAGTCAGTGAGTGTGGGTGGCGTAGCCTTCGTGTTTGTCTGACTCAGACCAGACAGTCTGAGGTGGTAATGCTAGTTTGTACTGAATTTTGAGGTTATTTATGTGTTTGTGTAAGAATGAAGCGGCAAGTTGCAATAGACTCTTTCTTTGTGAAGAAAACAAAGGTAAGTATTTTCCAAAATGTCGTTATAGTTAGTATTATAGTTTTCGTTTTAAATATCAGTTTTACAATTTACTTTACATAATGATATTCGGTACATGAATACCTACCCAAAGGCCAGAACCCAGAAGAAAGATTGTGATGAAATGATAGCGTAGGATATGTTGAAAATGCCTGCCTTTTGTTATTTGTAATAGTCATACTACAGATGATGTGAATGTTTATTTACTATCAGCTGTCTGTTTTCTTGTCCAATATTGTTCCTTGTCATGAAAACATTAATGAGAAATACATTTGATTATTTTATAGTTTAAATTCGTTTTTCGTCGTAGTTTTACTTAGATTATCCCTAAACACCTCCACTTGGGAGAATAATTCAAGAGGTTATGGTCGCCAGCATCGTTTTATGTACATAACAGTGTTGGGAAATCTAGTCTACTACGTACAGGGTAAGAACAATTTATACTGACGTATTTTTCTGTCTCAAGAGTATTATTTCTTTGGTATATCTTTCGATCGAGTTCGTCCAGCTCTACAAATGGAATACGTGAAAGGTATAAAACCATTGAAAGGAGCAGAAGATTGGCCGACGTGGAAAGATCGAGTGTTGGACGTTCTAGAGTTGTTCGATGCGGTTGATATCGTCGAGGGAAAGAGAGAAAAGCCTACCCTCTCTGAGCCTCCGACTAAAGCCGAAAAGGAAGAACTTCAAAAATTTAACAAATCCACGACTCAGGCAAAAATAGTTATTTCTCAGTGCGTTAGTGATGATCTACATCAACGTATTTCCGGAAGATTATCAGCTAAGGAAGCGTGGGACATTTTGATCGAGCAGTTTGATAACAAGGCAGAAGATCAGTTGTTTCGTCAGTGTTTGGATTTCTTCAGTATGGAATGGGATGATACCGAGGATGCCCCGACCGTGCTTTCAAGATTGAAGAATCAAAACCGCGAATTTGCAGCTGGCCTCAAAACGCGTAACATCCAAACAGTCGAAGATTTTCTTGAGCTCCTGTTTGTGTCAAAAGTGTTACACATTTTGCCGAAGCGTTTTGAATCGTTCAAGTCTAGCTACTTACTTATGAAGGCAAACGAGAGCAAGAAACTTGAAGATGTTTCATCTGCATTAATCCTTCATGAACGTAATGTTGCTCCTACGTCAAAAGCTGGTGACATTCTTAGTGCCACAAACAGCGGTGGTCAGAAGAATAGGAAACCAAAAGGTGACACTTCGTGCAAATACTGTTCGGGGAAAGGTCATTGGATTCGCCAGTGTTCTAAATGGAAAGCTGACGGCAAGCGTGCGTATCCAGATCGAGCTAACGGCATTAGCACTAGTTCAAAAACGAGTGACACTGATAAGAAGAGAACGAAGGGCTCGCAAGTTAACGTGACCGACAACCGAAGTGCGCTGATTTCCATCAGCAGTGACATGAATATCGTGACCACGAACGACCAGTGGTGGATCGACAATGGCGCTACACGGCACATTACGTCAAATCTGAGTTGGTTCACGGAGTACAAACCTTTTCCTGCAAACTCGAACGCAACAGTAAAGGCGGCGGGAAAGGAAGTTATAAAAGCTCTTGGCAGTGGAGTCGTTGAAGTAGCGAACTATGAAAATGGAAAACTGGAAATGTTCACACTCAACGATGTATGGTATGTTCCTGACGTTTCTCGGAACTTAGTGTCCATTCTCGCAGCTCATGATCGAAACCCTAATAGCAGGTTTGAATCGACTAATACCGAGTGTAGGTTCACTATTAACGAAAAAACTGTATTCAAAGGTACTCGAAACTGTGGTGGAACTTTGTATCGTGCCTCATTTCACACAGTTCAACCATCTGAGGTTTGCGCTAATGCAGCAGAAGACAATCGCATTCTGCAGTTATATCATGAGCGCTGGGGTCACATGGATAAACGTTACGTCCGATCGAAGCTCGAATACGAAATGGGTATCAAAGTGCCAGCCAACTACGAGATCTGCGAACCGTGTCAGTTCGGAAAGGCACACCGTCTACCATTCGGAACACGAGAACGCCCCTCAGCCCCCGGTGAGTTGTTATCCGGTGATGTTTGCGGCCCGTTTGACCCATCCTTCGGAGGTCGCCGATACTTGATCGTCATAAAAGACCACTTTTCAAGGTACCGATACTGTTTTGTCGCAAGGGAAAAATCTGCTTTGAAGTAAGCGTTGCGTGAAGTGTTGTCTAAAGCACGCACAATTGGTCATCACGTCAAAGAGTTTCTCAGCGACAACGGTTGTGAGTTTGACAACGCTGAAGTTCGTCAAATCCTCAGAGAATATGGTGTTAACCAACGTCTGATAGCGCCGTATACACCCGAGCAAAATGGTGCTGTAGAGAGAGAGAACAGAACAATCGTCGAAATGGCCCGGACCTTCAAGTACGCCAATCCAAATGTAACATTTCCTGCAGCGATCTGGGCTGAACTTGTCATCACTGCTGGCTACGTTTTGAACCGAGTGGGAAAGTCAGCAGTTGCAACAAATCACCTTTTGAGCTCTGGTTTGGTCAAAAGCCGAGGATCAAACATCTGCGAGTGGTCAGCTCAAAGTGCTACGTCCATGTTCCTGTTCAGAGGAGGCGAAAAATGGACAGGAAAGCTGTGGTTGGTTACCTGGTTGGATACGATGGCGATGAACGATATCGAATCTATGTTCCAGAGAGAAGAGATATCGTAGTTTCTCGTGACGTCGTTTTTCAAGAAATCGTTGGAGACTGTGACAAGAAAGTTGAGTGGCCCATCAAGATTGAGAAAACCAATGACGTCGAAGAGGATTGGCAAGAAGTTGAAGAGACTATTGACGAGCCTAGTTCTCCAGTGAAGAGTAATAATGCGCCTATACCGACTGAAGACCCGTCAAGTATCAGTGAAGATGGAGAGTTATCCAACGATCCTGCAACTCGACACTCAACTCGGGAAAGAAGGCAACCCGAGTGGCTAAACGATTATGTCTCGTCTAACTTTGCCGAAGTTACTCTTGTTGACGATGAAACGAACTCTATACCTCAACCAAGACTTCAAGTCCTGCAAGAAAATCTTGTACTCTCGGCATGACTATGCAAATAAGGGAAAGTGTTGAAAATGCCTGCCTTTTGTTATTTGTAATAGTCATACTACAGATGATGTGAATGTTTATTTACTATCAGCTGTCTGTTTTCTTGTCCAATATTGTTCCTTGTCATGAAAACATTAATGAGAAATACATTTGATTATTTTATAGTTTAAATTCGTTTTTCGTCGTAGTTTTACTTAGATTATCCCTAAACACCTCCACTTGGGAGAATAATTCAAGAGGATACTGTACATGGTTTAACTAACAAAATTAATGTAGGCCTATGTTTTACCATCGCAATTAAGGTGTTTTCTTTTTCACATAGCTAAACCAGTTATTAAGCCCACTATTTCATTCTCCTTTTTAATGGATGTTAGGCCTATCGGCCTAGCCTACCATTATGCTGGCAGGTACATTAATTAACCTAGTAAGCCTACCTGTATTTTTAGGTAGCTTAGCCCCATATAGGCCTAGTAGATTAGACTAAAATTCACTTACGGCTTCGCTCGCGGTTAAGTTAGTTATATGTCATATGAAGTTCGTTCGCTACGCTCACTCACTTTTAGGTTGGAGCTCGTTCGCTGCGCTCACTTGCCTTCAAGTTGTATGATAAAGCTCTATACCTACTTTATATTGTAATTGCAACCTTAATATTAAGTAATTTTAGCCAAGTATTATGCAATATTACTTATCAATAGGGATTAATGTAATTAATTTTTAGATAAATAAATATATGCTCACTTACTTATTTTTCGCAGGAGTAGAAGTTAATTTATGAGCTCTATTGTTGTTGTTTTAAAATTATTTTCTATGCATTCTATTGATATGTTACTGCACAAATATTAATAATTAATTCATTTATAATCGTACTTCAGCTTGTAACAAGTACTCCATGAGAGACATCCAGGAATAGTCGCCATGAAAGGTAAAGCGAGATTTCAAGTGTGGTGGCCCGGTCTAGATAAAGATATGGAAGAACATACAAAACATTGTGTTGGTTGTCAAGAGAACAGGCCTAAAGACACGGAGATGCCACTCTTCTCGTGGACCGTCCCAACAGAAGTCTAGTCAAGAATCCACATAGACTTTGCGGGGCCATTCTTAGGTAAAATGTGGTTGATTGTTGTAGACGCACAATCAAAATGGCTAGAAGTGATACCCATGTCGACAACAACTACAAAAGCCACTATCAATGCCTTAGAAGAATTGTTCTCAAGATTAGGCTATCCCAAAACTATCGTCAGTGACAACGGTCCTCAGTTGACATCTCATGAGTTCCAGACGTTCTGCAAAAACCTTAATATCAAGCACTCACGTATAACACCATATCACCCAAAAAGCAATGGGTTAGCAGAACGGTGTGTTTGAACATTTAAAGAACGTATGAGTATATCACAGAACAATGTAGGAACCGTCCAAGAAAAGCTCAAAAGTTTCTTGTTCGCATACAGAATATCTCCAAAAAGGTCAACCGGAAAATCACCAGCTTTTATGATGTTTGGACGCGAACTACGAACAAAACTAGACCTGCTGATCCCCGACGCAGATACTAAATTAGATGAAGAATTAGTTAGACAACGATTGGACAAACACGAATCAAAATTAAAAGTATTTCAAGAGAATGACCACGTCTGGGTGTAAATGCCAGGATATTTATGTTGGTTCCCATAGTAATTCCAGCTTCTAGCTTTTGTAATTCTTGTAGAGAGTCTTCCAGAGCTAGGTTGGATTGCATTTACTTTCCAAAACAATCCTAAAATATAGGGTCTTCCATAAGAAAAATCAAAGATGGCGGTCATATTGGAAACATGGTGGCTAAAATTTTTTTTCAACTTGACCAAAATTTAAAAAATAAAAAATCCAAGGCATTTACAGTTTAACATTTTGTTATATCCCTTATAACTTTCGAATAAAATAGCTGGCACACTTACATCAATCACTCTGTATATAAAAAAGGGCTTAGAGTATTCCCAAAAATATGACTTTATTCAAGCATAGATAAAAGGAGTATGTCTACTCCTTTTATCTATGCTTGAAGGTTTTCAAGACACAGGACGTTTAAATCGTGGGCCAGAAATCGCAAAACAGACCTAGCTGTTTTTATGGTTCGAGGACTATACTATCAATGGAAATTACCCGTAGTGCAGTTTCCAATTAATTTAACAATTATTTTCTTTGTTGTCAATAACTATTAACTACTATCCTGTAAATAAGTTTCACAAATTAAGCTGTTTCATTGTGTGTAGAGATTCTAATCTATTGTTTAAAGTAAAATTCATAATTAATTTTAAAGGACCCATTGTTAAGACTGTAACAACTATGTTTAATTGTTTATTGTTTACTTTAATCTTAAATAATTGATTGATTTATATTTTATTTGTATATAAATTGTTACAAAAAAATAATGGTTTGGTTTTCAATCATTTTGTTTGTTGTTTGTCTGTCTATTTTTGTAGTTTGACGTGATTTTTTTCTTAAATACTCCTCTTTTGTTGTTCATCATAAATATTCTGTAAATAAGTAGGCCTAGTAACTTATACAGTCGTTCAAATAGTGGTACGGTTTAAAGTTTGATTGAAAATAAATTGAAAACTTTGCATTTTGTTCGTTGTCTATACCAAAATGTTTTGATATTGCAAGTAAAATTACGAATATTCATGATTTAGCCCTAGTTTTTAATGCTCAAATTCTTAAATGGTTCAAATTTTATATACATTTTTTTATGTTTCATAAAATCATGAAACAGTTTGATTTATGAATATAAAAATAGTTAGTTAGTTGTTAAAAACGTGAGTTTCCTTTATATTGCTTTTACAATCTAAATCGAGACTATTATAGAGCTCTTTGCGCCCCCTAAGGGCTTGGGCCTCCCCGCATTGCGGGGTTTCGCGGTTCCTAGATCCGGCCCTGGTTAAAATTAAAAAAACTTTGAGTTACTTTTAAACTATATAGGCCTTATCAAAAATTTAAATTGGTTTCTTCTAAACCTTCCACACATTTGTCAAAACAACCTTGGTAAGGTTGGCTAAAATATGTTCAGCAATTATTGAGTTTTAGTGTTAGAAAGTTTGCACTGATGTAGATCCCAAAGAGCTTCGCTCCGCTCAATTAATTTATGAGGAAAATAAATAGTAGTGCTCTAGATTAAAAAGAATAACCATAGGAACAGGACAAAAAGCCTTGCTCAACAGAAATTTTACCTCTTTTGAATCTGAAGATCTTTTTCTTCGTCATCTGTAGATTGAGGACAGAAGAGAACTCTGTACAGACAAGTCATGGCATATTTCTCCAGGTAGTCCAACAACTGTTCTTTTGTTTCCTGATTCACATCTGGAATATAGTTAACACTATAGGCTAAAAGATAGACATATCAGTCGACAAGAAGCAGCTTAATTTTGAGCTCCAATTTACTGCATAAAAAACCTTATGTATTGTTGAAACATACACTTTCTGCACTTTCCAAGGTTTTGAACTTTGAGTTAAAATTTCCTTTTCAAAAATAATAAATAACTTTTATCCTAAGATTACCTTATTCATATTGATAAGAATTTATGACCATAAATTCATTTGGATTAAAATATTTTACTTTAATCTTTAAACAAATCTGTTCCAGTTCACTTAACATAATCCCTCAAATAAACTACAGTCGAGTCCCGATATTCCTAATCCCGTTATTTAAAAAAATCCACCTATACCTGAACTACGGACTGAATTATAAATCATTTGACTTTATTAAACCTGCTAGTACAAAGCTAATCTTGTCACCGCAAAAGTCGTTGAAGTTAACGATGTTGTCACAAACTTTGCCGAAGCTAGCAATGACGCTAAAGTTAGTGATATTGATGTACTATTGGCAATGTTAGCTAGAGAGTCAAGAATGTTAGAGATTCTAACGATATTTCATGCACGTCACCAATGCTATTCATGGCACTGTGAACATTGGTGATTATACCTGAAAAGTTCTAAAATCTATACGTATAAAATGCAAAGCCCTCAATGACTCACTCATCACTAATTCTCCTACTTCCCATTTACCTAAAAGACTGAAATTTGGTACACTGATTCTTTTTAGGCATTAAATAGGAAAACTAAGTAGTTTTTATTCTGATCTGACTTTTGGGCTCCTCCCCAGTGGCACTGGAATTTCCCATGTTGTTAACCTATTAATGAATCTCAAAAGCTGGTTCAATTAAACAAGTTGATTCTATGGTGTTCACTAGCATTACAGTATAATGTTACAAAGTTTACCAACAGGGTGCAGCACTATTAACTTTATATTTGAATGAATGATAACAGCTAATTTGAACAAAGCAGCAACAAAAAGCTGTGATACACAATGAGAACTGTCAAATACTAAATTGTTGTGGTACTGTGCGAATAGAGTAATTTTATTTTTAAGTACATAATTCATCAAGTTATTTACTTTATTTTTCCCCAAATTTTTATAAAAAAGTATTGGATTTGTTTTCCTCAAAAATAATGTCTGGGAAAATGGAGTAGCGTGTTAATAATTTTAATATATTACTGATCAAGTCAATGACTTAGATGGAAGGAACTAATATTATAGATATGAATGTTTGGAGTATGTCAATAAAGTGAAAACTACTTGACCAATTGAGGTGATTTTATCCATGAATAGAGCCAATATAACCACAGGCTTAAGGGTGAGCGAACAAAAAAAAATCATAGGATTTTTTTTATTTTATAAAGGTGTGGATACATTAGAGGAACAAAATAAATGTACACTGGTAAAAAAAATTGGAAAAGATTGTTTATTTATACTTTTACGTGAGATTTTGTAGCAGATTTTACATCAATTTGCAACTAGCCCTGTTTGAAGAAGAATTGGTATATACACATCAAACAGGAGATAGTCATCTTTTATTTTAATACCCTCCTAGGGCCCTGCCCTGACAGCTTATTAAGTCCAATGATGTCCCAACCCGGTACAGCAATCAATAGTTTTATTAATATTTTTGAAGCCGGGTAACAGCTAGTCAATTGATAATCTTGCAAACGTTGACAAAGCTAGCGATATCTTTAACAAAGGCAGTCAATTTAGCGACACCGTAAGTGTCAGCAAAATTAGCAAAGAGGGACAATCTAGCGATAACCCCACCAATGTTAGTGAAGGTAGTAATATAACCGAAAATGTTGGTAAAGTTTTATGTCTCCTGAATTATAGAGAAGCTTTTAATACACTATAATGTTGCAGCAACATTGCCATAATCTCCAGTGGCAGAGCAACTTTGCTGGTATCTTCCGCATTTGCTGCAACATCCACTAATTATCACTAATCCTAACAGAGTTCGGTCCCAGTTAGTTTGGAATAGCGGGACTCTACTACAGTTTTGTTGTTTTTTTTTTAATTATTTTAATACCTACTCTGGTAAACCAAATGAGCATCCATCCGTTTTGCAAAGACCTGATAAAAGTTCTGAGTACGTTCAGATATGTCGTCGATGGGTATGGACAAGTCTTCAGCCTCGCTGCTCAGCTTAGAGTACAATGAAGTGACACACTTGTGTACGTCATGTTCCACTGCCTTTCCGACCAGTGAGAGTAGTTCTGCATGCTCCTGACGCAGCCTCTCCACCTCAGCTGAGGCCGGCCCGTACACCTGACTGGTCTCCACTGCCTGCCCTTCTGCATCCCATACACACATTACAAACTACTCCCTGAATAAAATATACAGTAGTCACACTAAACATGTCAATGTTAAATGCTCTGTCCTTGAAACTTGTAGATGTTTAAGCTCGGTGTACATTTCGCCACAAGTGTGGCATATTCAGCAGCAGAGTTTGTAATCACATCACTTAAAAACACTAAAAATAAGATGCCACACTTGTGGCGAAATATACATTGAGCTTAAACATCTACAATCTTCAAGAACCTAGCAATTATAAGGTAAACCAACATAGTTAAATGCACCTGGTAAATCATGTAGGTATCTATATTATTAAAATAATTTGTTGAATTTTTGTGTGCAGCAAATTGACCCCTAACTATTTATTTTTATTGGCATATTGGGTATCAATTTAAAGCTCTTATCCTCTAGATGTGCCTTTTGCGGGTTTGGATGATATCCTGTGAAAGCCCTTTGTCCTATAAAATTTCATAGTTTTCATAGTTTAATGCTGAATTATTTTGTCAATCATCTGAACTTTTTCAAGTTTACATTTTTGTTTATATCAAAACAGATGGACAAAACAGGCTAAGTGAAAACTAAGATGGCGACATCTAGCATCTAGTGGTAAAAAACAACAAAATTACTAATTAAACAACAGACATCCAAACAACTTTATCAAGTGATTTTAAGACAAAAACATTTTGGAAGAAGTGAAACTTGAAGACATCAACCTCAAATCAAGCAAGTAGGTCTTACACATCAACACCTTCACATGAAAGGTACTATAATCAAGACCCTCAAGAAAATCTCATGAAAATCCAATATCGATACAAACTGAACATGACTAAGTTATTACTGTAATACAAGTTTAATACCAACAATAACATGTACCTCAAGAATTCATTGAACAGATGGTTAACTTGTAAACATTGCATAGTTTAAAAGTTTCAATTTTACATAAGTGCCCAAATTCTTTAAATTAAACTCTGCAAATATATCAAACCACTAAAGCACAATAAATATTAAAAAGTACAAAGAAATTTCACCAACATATTTGTGACAAAGTATCAAACTGACAACCAAGCAGTGACGTCATAGCCAACTCACAGCTTTGCACATTCTTCACTTCCAACACAACACCTGCTGCCGATAAATGCTTGTTATAATAGAGGTAAAGGGGGGTGTAATGATTCTCTCCGAGGAGGGTCTCTCCGGTAGGCCAGTGGTCTTGCCAACATCTGATACATGTTTGGGTGAATATAACATTTTTGAATTCTGTGCTGTTAATTATAAGTTAAATGGTTGTCAAATTATTATAGTTGGTGTGTATCGCTCACCCTCATCAGATCCATTCGAATTTTTGAAACGCCTAAATGCATTAATTAACATTTTGATAAAAAGATGTAAATTTATTATAATTGGTGGGGACATAAATATCAATGTTTTGGTGGATTCAAGGGAGCACTTAGAACTTAAGAATGTATTAAAGAGTTATGGTATGAAGTATCTTGTAACATTTCCAACTAGAGTAACTTCTACCACTGCCACTTGTATTGATAATTTTATGTCAAATATTCCAAAAAATTTAACTAAAACTGAAGGTTTAATTTCTAGTTTGTCATGATGCACATTCCTGTATTTTCCAAAATTTTTGAACGAGTTATGGCTATTCAGTTAACAGAATTTTTAGAGTGGAACAAACTGTTAGACAAAGAACAGTTTGGTTTTAGGATAGAGATGTACGTTATATAACATAACAGGGTGAATAACAGTGTTGCCGCTCGTCCGATAACTGTTGTCAGGTCATTTTGTTGCGGCGATCTCCCTGTTATCAAAATAACGAGTTTCATTGCGACAATGCCAGGGCAGCCGGCAGCGGGCAGATCCGCAGAACAGAACACCGTTTTTGAACAACTATAGTTTTGACAAAAGCGTTGACAACTAGATACGGTAGTTAGTTGTTGTGTGGAAGTGGGACTTGAAATGACCGAATTATTTAACTTGTCACCGCAACTTACACATGTTACACATAACTTACACAAGTCTCACAGGAAGTATACATATTGTTTGCTATGCTATGAAACCTGAGTAATTTTATGCGTTTTCACATTAGTTCTCCACTGATTCTTAGGTACTAAAATTCTCCATTATTTTTGTAAAATAATTATTTTGAAATGTATTGTAGCAGTACACTTATGACTTGTTTTGATCTTAAATATAAAAAATGCTTAAAGTGTTGTGTTTTATTTTAGTAACCTACAAACATTCAGTTAATGAAGAGTAAAATCATAGTTTAATGTTAAACTATGAATAACGTAAGTTTCAAAACGGTAGATAATGCTTTGAGAAATAAAAATAAGTGGATACTGGAAATTATATTAATATATTTACATGTTGTAAATTATCGTCATTATTTCTACTTAAATTATGGCTTTTTCCAATTATTATTATGATGTAAGAAATTAAGGTAAAGTTTTCAGAATTTATCTTTGTTAATAGTTATAATTAGTTCTCCATGCGTTGTTATTGTTAATAATTGTTTAAATAGTTTAGGTAAAACATGGGATTGTGCTATGCACAGTAAGTTAAAGCTTTCTATAGGTCTTATTATTAAATTACAAAATTCCTTTGGCTATTAACTTAGCCCACATTAAACTCAAAGTCTTTTCTTAATAAAGATCATTCCTAACTTGTGTTTTATTTATGTCTAATAAGGTAAGTCTTTATCTTTACTTAATCTTATAATATATGAATTAATTTAAGAATAAATAGATTTGGTAAGTTACAATATGAAAATTATTAGTGAATTACAAATCTATATATATAATACGTGAAGCCGTTTTTTGTTAACGCAACTCCTCCCTTATTTTTAGACCAATTTTAACGTTTAGGGTGTCAAAAGATTCGTCTCAATATGTAGTTTTGCAATAAGGTTTTAGAATTTTAAAATTCCTACTCTTAAGGGCGTGAGACCTTCTCAAAGGTCGGGTTTTCCCCATAAGAAATACATAGAACAAATTTAAAAACAAAAAACAGCTGTTTTTAAAAAGAAACTCATTAGCTTTTTGAGAGTAAATATTAATGTTTGTAATATTCAGTAGGTTAAGACCAAGTCAAACAGTTAATCAGTTTTGTTGGAAGAACAGAAAATGCTCAAGTTCAAAGAAGAAATATTGAAAACGGGAGGAGGAGACAATTAATAATAAGATATCTTTATGCGTATGAGGAGAGTAGAAAAAGAGAGGTCTGGTTTAACAGATACCCATCCAGATACACATTCACTAGGTGACATGAATAATATTTGCCAGTTCTGCAGCCAACTTACTTTGGAATTGAAAAAATAATCGAAGCACATAGTGTTGTCACAGCTGTAAAGTTAACTTGCCTAATTTCAGATCAAACGAATGCGAGAAATGTTTACTTCTGACACTGACAGATCGAGACATTTCAAAACATTTAGTACAAACTTTATTATAGTATGATTGTTGACGGAAAGCGGCTGGCTGAAGGGTCGACCCTACTCACACACACGCAGGCCTCACACACACAGACGCAAGGGATTAGGACGGACGTGGGACAGACCATTGTCCTGCCATTCGAGTCATCGGTGGCTCACGGAAATTAAACTATGATTTTTTTTATTTTACGTTTGTTATAAAATCTGGTAACGCTTTTGACTTCAGCTCAAAATGCTTAGTAAAATGATACCAAACAATATATATTTTGCTTACAAAGTGTAAAAGCTACGAATATTTAAACGCGTTTTTATTAGCTAGCTACTTGTCATAATTATTTCGTGTTTGGACTCATTTTTCATTGAATTAAACAAAAAATTTATTAACACTAACCATTTTACTGTATATCTAACATCAAATGAATTGCAATTTTGAGGTATCATTAACAGATGTTATATTTCTAGGGGATCGGGGCTTTCAGGCAATTAGGACGGTGGTGAGTGTGCGTGCGTGAGTCGGGTCCCTCGCAGGTAGGATGAGCTCCAGCCGCACTCCGGTAAAAATCAGACTATAATGCCTTGACTATGATAAGTTGAAGTAGTAAGATTATACCAAATCTTGGCGGACCTTATGTTTTTATTGTAAACTTTTGTATTGCTCGCTCTACTTCAATTGAGAAAAAACGCAAATGGATTGTTTACTTCCAGGTTATGTTGCCAGTTGCTCTGACAAACTTATAAGACATGACATAAGACATAAGACATGTTTATTTCCAGTAGACATATTACAAATGTATTGGAAGAGTCAAACATTTTTCATGCAGAGCAGTTGTCAAATTAAGAAGTAAGTAACAAAGTGTACTTTGAAGTCTACGAAAAAAAGAAAATTGCATTTTAAGTTATTTAATTGGTCTTAAACTAAAATCACAGAGTTTATCACTATTGAGAAGTAAAAACAACCATTTGAAAGTTAGCAAAACATTACAAAATTAGACAGGTTGTAGGCATTAGGTGAAGGCATAATAGTTAACACAAAGACAAACTAAAAACACAACTTTGAAGAAGGAAGGTCTAAAAACTCTTTGAGTTCGTAAAAAGGATTAACAGCTAGCCATTGGAACACTTTTTGTTTAAAAGAATTATATGGGAGAGAGAACATAAATGTAGGTATCTTATTAATCCATTGCATGCCCACTATTTCATAACTTTTCTTAGATTTCTCCAGTCTAACATAGGGAATGTCAAGTTTATTTCTGAATCGAGTATTGTGCTGGTGGACATCTTTACGGCAGTTAAAAGCATTTAAATTCTTAAAACTAGTTAACAATAAATTAAAAATATACAAGTTAACAACAGTGAGAATTTTAAAATCAATAAAAATTGGTTTATGGTGTTCAACAACATCTACTTTGGCTATTATTCTTAGAATCTTTTTCTGAATTACAAGAACCTTTTTTACATGTGGGCTATTTCCCCAAAAAATTATTCCATAGCTTACTGCTGATTGGAAGAGGCCATAGTAAACATTTAACAGACAATCTATTGGGATTACACAACTTAATT